AGTTTTGCTCTAATCCTGATGCGACATTCTTCATCATAGTTTGACTTTACAAACTATTTGCTCAACCTATAGATTGAATATGTATGGAGAAAGGATACAACCCTGATAGGTACCCTTCCTGATTTTAAACCATGCAGTGTTTCCTTGCTCTATTTGGGTAATAGCTTCTTGATCTAGGTATAGATTCTGTATGGGAACAATTAAGTATTCTGAGATTCCCATTCTTATCAATGTTAGTGGTAATTTGTTATGATCCATAGTCAAATGTCTCTGCATAGTCATTAAAACACAAACAAATATTCTTCTGGTATTCTCTGCTTTCAGCCAGTTTCCATCTGGTATCAGCAATAATAACCCTGGTGCCATGGCCCCTTCTAAAACCAGCTTGAACTTTTGGAACTTCCTTGTCCAAGTACTGTTCTAGCTGGTCTTGAATGATCTTCAGTAGTATTTTACTTGCATGAGATATTAATGATATTATTTGATAATGTCCACATTCTGTTGAATTTTCTTGGGAATGGGGCCAAACAAATATGGATCTTTTCTAATCAGTCAGCCAGGTAGCTTTCTTCCAAATATCCTGGCAGAAACTAGTAAGCCCGTCCAGGGCTGCATCTGTTAGTTGAAGCATGTCAATTGGATTCTAACGATATCTGGGGATTTAAGAAAATTAGGAATAATTTTTTTTTCTATAATTATATTTTATTAATTTTCATAAACATTTACAGAGATTTTGGGCTTCCACTCATTCATTGTTGCACTATTCTCTCTACCCTCCTCCCAGTTTGTTCTTGTCCAAATGCCACAGTGCTTGTCAAAGCCAGTTCTGATTAATCTTCTTTGTCAGTGTATCCTTTGCCATTCCCTATCACTCCTCCCTGAGAGAGACTTCACCCTGAGTCATAAGGAAAAGGGGACGGCGTATTCTCTTAGCTACTTCCTGCTGAAAAGGGATGCTGTGGGTTTCAGTGTGAAGATCTTCTCTCACTACTCTAAAGGGCCCCTTTGGCAGTAGGAAACACATAGACTATTATGGAGATTGATTTTGGAATTCAGATGCACTCTTATTGATTGTGCTTGGCTGTACATGTACATATCCTTGAAGATGTATCATGGGGGTGTTGCAACCTAGAAGACACAAATTTGACTAACAAGTTATAAGTACATGAGTCCAAAAATTATGGAAAAGTAAAAGAAAAGATTCTTTCATTGTTTTACAAACCCTCCCCCAGGTCCCCTCCACCATGTAGCCCTCGCTCTAGTCTCCTGTGATGACAGAAATACCCAGTTACATCTCTCTTTTAAACGGTTCTCTCCCTCCTCTGTTTCAGTGCAGTATACATTATTGAACCCATCTTACTCAGTCTAATTTTTTAAAAAATGTTTAAGCTAACTAATAAATAGAGTGTATTTAATGTGCTTTTCAAGTGTCCACCATGGAAACAGGATCAGTAGCTTCATAAAAACAAATGCAGAATGGATAACTATCGATTCTCATTGTCCAGCTTTGATTAACAGGGAAACATAATTCACAATTTTCTGTGGACAAGGAGCCTTGCAGGGAGAAAGGTCTCATAGCTTACAAATATTATCCAACTAGCCTTGTAGTAATTTTTTTTTCTGTGCTGTTAGGAAAGGATGAATTGTATTTACAAGGTAGCAGAGTTTCAGCAAGCTAAAACATGTGATTGCACTGTTCTCTACCCTGTTAGTTCCCTCTGTTATGTTTTCAGTCAAAGGAAAGACAACAGTGTTCTCTGAGATGGCGAGTTGTTCTCCTCAAGACGGCTTTACACATCTAGGGCACTCCATTAACCCCAAAACTTGTGTTAACATCGTGGTTTATAAAACACATCTACTTGTAATGCAAAAATGTTGGATGCAGGAAACAGCATTAATTTATAAATTAAACCCACTGCCATCAAGTCTATTCTGGCCCATACAACAGGGTAGAATTACCTTACAGGATTTCCAGATCTGTGAATTTTAATGGTAGGAAAGTGTTTCAACTTTCTCTTGCAAAGTTGGATTCAAATAATGAGCTACTGGTTAGTAGTCCAGTAATTAATCCAGCGTATCACCAGCACTCCTTTTTCATACATGTGCATGTTATTATTTAAGCTATGAAGTGACTAATTTTCTGTATTTTTTATTTGTAAATTTTTTTTGTTTTTGTTGTTCCAAAATGTACATGTTCCGGAAATATTTGGAGTGGAGAGGAGATGGGGTAAAGAGCTTAGTCTGTCAAGATTACTTTGATCAAGGTGCATTTTCATATCTAAAGTCAACATCAAGCGGTTTCTTTCACATCACCAGCATAACTACAACATAAAAGCAGGATGGCTGCTTTTTTTATTTTTTGCTTCATAGATTTACTTCTAAACTCCTGGCTGCAGGAGCGGAGGCACACAGGTCCAGCACAGTCCTGCCTCTGTATGATGCTAGGTAAAGGACTTCACTTCTCTGGGACCAGCCTGTAGGTCTATGAATGGCCTCGCCCCACTCCTACCCCTCCACCTCCACCTCACCTACTTCTCTAAGAGTCCCTCTCATGCTGAACCAAGACAAGAGCCCAATTAAGACAGTGGGATTCAATTAGGCATATTTTAAAACACCTGAATACTAATCAACTTTTAAGCCTTTCACTTACTGCATATACTGTATCAAATGGTGAATAAAATGAATATGAGAATGAAAACAAAAAATGAGATGAGTCAATGAAGAAAAGGACACATTCATGCCCGCCTCAGTGACTCAGTGTGTGAGAAAGTAGGCTCAGCAGGGCTCTGACACAAGAGCATGTGCTCTGCAACCAGGATATGCTCGATCCCCTTGTCAATGAACTGATCTTTGAACTATATACCTACTTTTCAGTTATCGACATCCTATTTTCCAACACTTCATACCACAGTAAAAAGAAAAATAAAAATCTACTAATAAAAAAGAAAAGCCAAAAAATAAGAAAAAAAACTACTGATGTATTTTGTGCCTAACAATGTGCAGCAGGTATGCAAGGTAAGAACACTGCTGGCTATGAAGCTAAGGTGATGTGTAAGCTTGGCTGGGCCATCACTACTGGTGGTTGAGAGTTACACAGCATCATCTGGCAGTTCTGAATGAGGAAGACATCACTTTGTGATATAATGAAGTCATCCTCCATTTTTGTACAACACTAATTATTACTAAGCAATCTTGTCTTTGGAACTTATCCAAGTTGGTAAGTGATGAGCTATGGATACAGAGTTCCATAATAAAGACTATTTGAGGAAACAGTAGAAGAGTGTGATGATATATCCAATTTGTAAATAAAACAAAATAAAAATCAATGACTTGGAGAAACAATTCACAGTACTTTATTTCATTTCATTAGATAACATGCTCCCAATTAATATTACAATTAATAATTTCTTCTTCTTGAAAAAGCCCTGACTCAAAAAAATCTGAGTTAGATTACCATAGTATTTTTTGTTACTAAAATATTATTTGTTTAAATATTTTAACTTATGGTCAAAAATCTTTTTCATACCAGCAATCCCTTAATCACAAAAGAAACAGAAAGAGATATTGTAGAAATTTATCTCCAATACAAATAATTTGTGTCTTGTAATCTTTCTAGGTTTTGTGTATGTGTGTGTATGTATATGATAGTATTTACTATGGTTGACTGTATCTCTCATGTCACAGATGTAGTGGTATAGTAAATTTCCCACCAAGGGGACTCACAGAAAGGACAGTCTGGAGCTTTTCTATGAGATGTGGACATGCTGAAAGAGTTCTGATATTTTCACACAAAAACTGGAACAACACTGAAAAAATTAGAAAGTGGAATCAGAGATTCTCTTTCCTTTGCATATTTAATAAACATTGATCAAGAATCTGTGTGCAAGGCTGTGGGTCAGGGGCTGAGGGGGAAATCAAGCAAAGATGTGGCTTGAAGGAGCAAATCTGGCATTGACTACCAGAGCCCAACATCAAGAAGAAACACTGAAGGCATGGTGGGGTTCCCAGAATCCTGTGGGAGGAAGGCATCCCCAGTCATTTTCTTTGGGTTCTAAGCCTGTCACCGATACCTCTGTGTTAGTAGACCTAATCTCGCAACTTGCCCTGCCCAGGTACTCCCTCTGTTTCTGCTTTCTCTGGAGTTTAAGACCTCAGCTCTTGCCTTACAAGTGTCTAATAACTGTCTAGAGTTAATGTGTTGTAGAAGGGTCGGTCTCCTATCTTGGTACAGAAAGATGGAAAATTTTGAGGAAGGAGGGCTAGAATAGAAGAGAGAAGTGTAGATGTTATAATCAGATTAGAAGGCTGAGGGGAGGGAGGGTGGGAAGAATGCCAGCAGGTAGATTTACTACATAGGACACTAACAGGTAGCCTAGATATGTTAAGGTAAAGCCTTGTTTAAATACAAATGTGGGTGATAAGTTTGGGAAATTAAGAATCTTACCTATCAGGTGTCTGACATTCAGTTTGCAGGCCAGGAGGAGCACCAAATGTATAAAGGCAAGGCTGTGACTTGCTTTAAGCATAAGTCTGAAAAAATTAATTCTGTGGCCCCCCAATAGGGTGGAAAACTTAGATATTAAAAGGCTGCTACTGTGCTGCAGGTGGTGAGAAAGATGGCCTTTGGAATAGGAAGTGTGCCCTGAAGTGACGGAAGAACCTGTCCAGTCTGCCCAGTGCTATCCTAGAGGAAAGCACCCACAACCACCGTGAGGTGCTCAGCCAGGAAGATGTGGAGAACACCAACAGCGTCAATGATCTCAGTGTGTGAAACTGAAACTTTCTCTACTTCACCCTTAAATACAGTCTACTCAAGTTCAGCCATGGAATATGAAAGAATAATGAGAAACAAGAGAGTCCTAAATAACTCCAAAAGCAAAAGACTTTGTAGAAAGTAGATCAAGTAAACATTGCACTTTTACTCACCACCCACCCGGGTGGGTGGGGGGGGGGAAGGTGGAACCTAATGTCAAAGTAGAACAAGCTCTTAAATGTTTTCTTTACGTCTGCTTTTTGTGTTTTGGTCTGTAAGCAATCAAGATAGAGAGAGATGCTATTCCAAAAAGGAATGTCTGTATAAACCAGAGGAGCCGAGCCCGATCATTTGTGATGCCTTTATATCTGAAAAGAAAAAAAAAAGAGCAAAATTTAAATATGAGAATTTTAAGTGGTTGAGTAGAAATTACTGTGGTCCGTGTTACCAAAAAAAAAAAAATCTGCCAACTTCTTTTCTTGGATTTATATTACAATATTACGATTCTCTGTCTGAAACAATTCATTTGGTTTTCTTTTTTAATATGTGTACCTAACATGGAGCAGGCTTCACCAAAAATACAGTCCTGCTACTGTCCAGGGAAACTCTGTTACAAAATCGTCCTTCACATGATTCTCACATGCAGACACAGTAAGCAACACTGCTATAAATGAGGAACAGATGCTTTGATGATACAACTCTGGGCAAGTAACTCAAGCTCTCTCAGAATCAGTTATTTATTAGAAAATTAGAATTAATAGTACCTAGCATCTCAAGTTTTAAGATTATTTATGAGACGATAGAAAGTAGGGGAGCTCAGGTGGCCTAGTCCAGAGGAAATGACATTGCTAGCAAAAGCTGCTCTTCTCTGGCAGTTCAAATCCACTAACAGCTCTGTGAGAGAGAGATGTCTCCTGGATTCACAGGCTTGGAAACCCATGGAGGGTTAGTTATGAGTTGATTCTGATTCATGGCAATGAATGAGTAAGTGAATATCCACAAAGTATTGAATAGAGCACAGGGAGCTCTGGTGGCATAGTACACAGTGAGTTGCTTTACAAACCCAAAGGTGGCATCTTTCTGGAGGTTCAAATACACCAGCAGCCTCATGGAGAAAGATGAGTAACCCACTGGAGGAGGAGCTATGAGTCAGCTCCAAGTTGATAGCAATAAAAGGGGAGGGGAAGTAGAACATGGAGCAAAATAATAGTCAATAACCTACTTATAGTCTTCCAAATTAAACTGTCTAAAATAGAGTCCACAGAGTTAAAATACCACCCTGACTATATCCTACCTGAATTTAGAGAGACAATCTTAACAATAGATTTGATGAACTAAATAGGAATGAGCAGATGAACTGTGGAATGTCATGAAGGACACCACACATGAAGAAAGCTAAACATAAAAATAGGCAAGAAGTAAAAGACCAAAATAGATGTGAGAAGAAACTGTGAAACGTCCTTGAATCTGGAACAGCTAAAGCAAAAGTGGGAAATGAAGAAAATGGCTCAACAGGAGATTGGAATGTATAGCTAAGAAAACAAAACAAAACAAAATGTTAAAGTATGTCAAAGGGAATAAAGTCCTCAGTATTTCTCCAGCTGCAAAAACTAAAGAAAAAATGCAAGTCTCAAGTTACAATATTGACAAATTCTATGTGCAAAATACTGAACACAAAAAGATGATGGCAAGAATATATAGAATCATAGCTAATGTTAAATGAATCTTGGCTGAAAGCAGAGAGTACCAGAGGAATGTCTGTGCTTCATTGACTATGCAAAGGCTTTTGACTATGTGGATCACAAAAAGCTATGGCTGACTCTGAGAACAATGGGAAACCCAGAACATTTGATTGTGGTTATGCAAAACCTATACTTGAACCAAGAGGCAGTTGTCAGAACAGAGCAGGAAACACTACATGGTTCAAAATCAAGAAGAGGGTCCACTATGGATGTATTATGTCTCCATACCTTTTCAATCTGTATGTAGAACAGATCATCCGAGACGCTGGTCTGTATGAGGGGGAAGGTAGCATCAGGATTGGTGGAAGAGTCATCAACAACCTGCATTACGCAGATGATACAACCCTGCTTGCTGAAACTGAGAGGGAGCTGAAGGGCTTGCTGCAGAAGTTCAATGACTGCAGCCTTCAATACGAATTGTTGAAGCTCAACATCAATAAAACAAAGATTCTCATCACTGGACCAATCGACAGCATCAGTATGGATGGTGAAGAGATTGAGATCGTTAACAGTTTTAGTTTGCTTGGCTTCACAGCAACACTCTTCGTATCAGTAGCCATGAAATCAGGAGACAGATTGCATTGGGAAAGTCAGCTGTCAGGGAACTCTCAAGAGTACCGAAGAGCAATAATGTCCGGCTGGAGACTAAGGTGCGCCTGATCCAGGCTATAGTCTTCACAATTACGTGTTATGCATCAGAGAGTTGGACAGTGACTAGGGATTATAGGGAATTGATGCCTTTGGGTTCTGGTGCTGGAGAAGAGTGTTGAATATACCATGGACTTCTAGGAGAACAAACAGGTTTGTCCTGGAGAAGGTGAAGCCGGAATGCTCCTTGGAGTCAAGGATTCTGAAGCTTTGTGTGGCATACTTTGGGAATGTTGCAAGGAGGCACCAATCCTTGGAGAGGGACATCATGTTTGGGAGAGTGGAGGGACAGCACAGGAGAGGAAGACCCTCATTGAGATGGATCAATTCTGTGATTGGGATGGTGGGAGTGAGTGTGTGGGAGAGGTGAGGTTGGCACAGGATAGAGCAGGGATTAGGGCTCTTGCACATCTTGTACATACTCTTGCTATGAGTGGCAAGCGACTTGATGACACATAACAACAACTACAATCCAAAAGTAATGAATCATAGTTCAATCACTTTTGGAGATAACATATAATCAAGAACCAATGGGACTAAAGGAAGAGATCTAAGCTGCACTCAAGTCATCAGCAAAAAACAAGGCTCCAGGAATTAGAACACCAGTTGAGATGTTCCAAAAAGAATAGAGGTGTCCACTTGCCTATGCTAAGAAATTTGGAAGACAGCCCTAAGTAGCAAACCAACTGTAAGAGATTCATATCTGTGTCCATTCCAAAGAAAAACAGTTCAATTGGATGCAGAAATTATTGAACTGTATTATTTACAACATAATTAAGTATAATTTTGCTGAAGATAAAATTAAAAATTGTTATAGTGGTATAATGACAGAACTTCCTGTTCATTTCAGAAATGGATATGAAATAAGGAGTCTCATTGCTGATGTCAGATGGATCTTGTCTAAACACCAAAAAGATGTTTACTTGTGTTTTACTGACTACACAAAGGTGTTTGAATGTAATCCTAAGAAATTATGCATACTACTGTATGGAATGGGAATGCAATAAAATTAACTGCCTTAGGAGCTTGTATATACAACAAAAAGAAGTGAATCACACAGACTAAGGGAACACCACGTAGCTTAAAATCAGAAAAAGGTATGTGTCAGGGTTGTATTCTTTCGCCATACTTTTCCAATCTGTATGAATAAGTAAGAAATTTGTTCTTAAACATGAAATAGTAAAATATCCAAGCATCTTGGCTGTGAAGAGACTTAACAACATGAAATATACAGTGGATACAATATTATCTGATGAAGATCAGAGGTTACAGCCTTGTACAAATTACATCTTAACACAACCAGACTAATCAGTAATAGCATGATAAGTGGTGAAAAGATTTAAATCAAGAATTTCATTGTACTTGCATCCACAATCAACATCAATTTAAGCAGCAGCCAAGAATTTAAACAATGTATTGTAATGAACAAATCTGCAGCTAAAATCTTCTTCAAAGTGTTCAAAAGCAAAGCTGTCACTTTGAGGACTAAGGTGTCTCTGAGCAATGAAAGATATTATCAAACACCTCATATGCATATGAAATCTGCATATAATAATAAGGAAGACTGAAGGAAAAGTAATAAACTTTAATTATGATGTTCACAAAAATATTAAACATCCCATTGGCTTCCAGAAAAAACAAATGAATTTGTTTTGGAAAAAGTAAAGTCTCCTTTGGCAGCAAGGATGGTGTCATGATTAATATTGCATGTCAACGTGGCCATGATCGTCAGTTTATGTAACTACAATGTGCAATAAATTCTAATCTCTGTGATTAATAACGCAGGATTATGATTAGCCTGATTACGGCTAGGAGTCGTCAAAGGTATGATCTGCATGGTATTTGAGTTTGGATCTTGGCAGAAAAACTAGAGAACTGTTTATCAGATCTGCATCTGGTTCTGTGGCTCATGGTCTCTAGACATAAAGTGTGATGTACTTGTTGACTTTGAACTTGTCAGCATCTAAAGTGAACCACTGACTCTATTTTGCAACAATGATCTTTGGACAAACCAGCCTCTGATGCAGGCAGCCTTCAAAGCCTGCTATCTGTAATCCTACTTTGCACAACGACCTTTGGATGTGTTAGCCTTTGAAGCCAGCAGCCCCCAAAGCCAGAAGCCTAAAACCCTGCCTGCCTGCCCGGCTGAAGACCTGAACCCTGCCTCCCCAGAAGCCTCTTTCTTGAGGTCTAACCAGCAAACGTGAGACAAGCCCCTACAAGCACATGAGCCCTTGAAGTATCTTCCTCCCTCTCCACACCCTTCCCTCCCTAGCCTAAAAAATCAAAACCATATTAAAAAAATAATAAATTACAACCAAACAGCAATCACATCAGTTATGCAAGTATGGCCTGACACTAGAAAAACCTACATAATTCACTAGTGCAATTCACTACATAACGTACACAAAATAAAATGTATTACATAAAGAAAAAGAATCACATAATATCAAATAATGCAGAAAAGGCACTCAATGAAATCCAACTGCCATTACTGATTAAAAAATTCTCAGCAAAATAGGAGAATGGATATAACTCAACATCATTAAAGTCATATATAAAAAAGGAATAACAGAAAAAAAGAGCAATAAGCAGCATTGCTCTCAATGGAGAAAGATGGAAAGTGTTCTTCTTGCAAACAGCAGACAAAGATGTCCTCTGTCACCACTCCTATTCAATACTGTATTAATAACCCTACTCAAGGCAAAAGGGGAAAATAAAAGGCATCCATATGACATGGGAAAGGCAGAAGTGAACCTATCCCTATTTATAGATGGTTTTACACTTATATTATGATTTTATACATACACAATCGCAGACACTTGGTAAGTAAACTAGTAGAACTAACTAAAAGATTCAGCAAAGTGACAAAGTAGAAGATCAATATATAAAAATCAGAGAGATGCAGATTAAAACAGCTATGAGATGTCATCTCACCCCAGTCAGAATAGCAAAATTTAACAAAACAGCAAGCAACA